TCACAGTGCCGTCTCTGAACTGTGACAAGATTTAAAACCAGAACTCTTCACATGCCACGAGTGTCCAAAAAATGCATCTAGGTGCCTGAGTGCACTGAGGCGCTGCCACGCGATTGGCCGATTAGAAGCGAGCAGTTAGTGCGACTTTATTCTTTTGCCTCTTTGATTTGTGGTTTAAACATTTGCCTTAGAAAGACCTGAGCCGACACGAAGCCAGCATGAGCTGGAAGTTTGCTTCTCAGGTTCATCTGAACTTTTTTAATCTGCAGGGATTTTAGTTTTTTCCTGTCATGTTTTAAACTGACAGTTTCACAGTTTTCTGTCCCGACTTTGCTTCCTGCCAGCTTCATTCTGTTGTCACTGTTGTGTACGTCCTTGTTTTCGGGTGAATCCCTTCTGTAAACACTTCTCGTTCCAAGTTTGCATTTCTTGTAAGCTTCTAACCTTCTTCCTGTTGAGCTTTAGACCTTTGCCCCCCTCCCAGCCTGCACCCTGTGTTATTTTTGCTCGTCTCAGCCTCTTCATTCTGTTTCCTTTGTTCTTGTAACTGTTGGTTCTTTAATTGAAACTTGTTTTTCACTTCCCTCAGAGGCCCGGGGTAATTCCGGGTCTGTTGGTTTGCATGAAATTAGTGAAGATGTGAAATATGAAACAGCTGCTTTACATGTATCAGAACCTCAAATTCAAAGATGGCCAAACAGGACATGGAGGCAGAAACCCGAGTGCAGAGTTTTGTCCTGCACTGTTCACCTGTCGCTCTGAGCAGATAACAGGATGTGTTTCAGACTATTTCTGGGCAGATGTTCTCACTGCATCTTTTTTTTTTTAGCTCCAGCGTTTTCCAATTTTAGCCTTTCAGATCTCCCCCTCTCTTCCTTTGTACCGCTATGATGGGGGCTCCTCCTGCACCTCGCCGTCCACTTCAAATCGTTCTTTGGGTTTATTGTGCATCAGGTGCAGTAACGCTAAAGTTCATCCATCCACTCGTATCACCCACAGGAAGTCGTTTTAGGATTTTAACCCGTGTTTTTAGGGTGTGGCTTTTAATTAGCAGACGCTTCATGTTTACTGCACGCTGTCTTAATCTTCTGACTGGATGCAGCTCTGCACAGCAGGGTGAGCTGCCCCTGTGCAATTTGCTGTTTTGCATGTTGACCACGGGACTTTAACTCGTCCACAGCTTTGGTTGGTGACAATTATGGTTACGGGTGGGATCAAGAGAATAAGGCCCCAAACCAGGCTGCGAGTGGGTGATGTACTGCTGGAGTCCCAGTCAAAGGTCTCCAGACCAGTTAGTGACTCCTGGAAACCACCTGTTGCTAAGGAAAACCTGTACTCGTCTTTGTGATTGCGTTCATCAGTAGCATGTTGCTGCAGTCGTACTTTCAAAGGATTGTCTATGAAAGCTGGGGAGCGTGCCGTAGACTGGACTGCGCCGACCGCTGAGTGTCGACCGTCATAACTACAGTACATGGTGTTTGGGTGAGATGCTTCGTAACTTCAGTCACGATTTTCCAAACCACACTGTGCCACTGCCCAAACACAACATTCAAAGTATAAAAACTGTTCCTTTGTGTTACATTCATACCAAATCACGTGTTTGAAGCAGTTCTTTCTTCCACACATTGATTCTCTGTATGCCATCGATGAACGTAGAGATGCATCTTTGATTAATACAACATCTTTTAGACTTTCTGCAAAATGAAAAAAGTTGAACCTGATCAAAGTCCTTTCTAAATGATGCTCATCGAGGCACCTTTGTAGACAGAGCTGTGGATACAGTGAAGAATAGTTATCGTGACAGCGGCGCTCATGTGCCGATGTGTACACAAACATTTCTGGGGGATTTTCTGTTGACCGGTCCAGCAGTTTGTTTCTTTGTCATCTTCGATCCTGCTGCGTCCGCCCATGCTGCCTCGCTCTGCAGGAGAATGGGAGGAAGAGGAATCCAGCAGGGAGGAGGAAGATATCAGACACGAGAGGAGGAAGTGGAGCATCTCTGTCATTTGAGCTGAAACAACACTAAACATCTGCACAGCTGCAGGGACGCGCGCCCAGTGAACGCAGCCCTGCTGCGCTGCGCTCAGCGCGCATTTACACTCACTCACATTTGTTTTTGTATGGTAACCTACATTTGTTCTGTACAGCAGCAGACTGTGAATAAATCCTCGTGGTTACCGCTAACAGCAGAGGCCATGATTTTATCGGGTCGATCGTGGCTCAAGAGTTGGGAGTTCGCCTTGTAATCGGAAGGTTGCCGGTTCGAGCCCCGGCTTGGACAGTCTCGGTCGTTGTGTCCTTGGGCAAGACACTTCACCCGTTGCCTACTGGTGGTGGTCAGAGGGCCCGGTGGCGCTAGTGTCCGGCAGCCTCGCCTCTGTCAGTGCGCCCCAGGGCAACTGTGGCTACAATGTAGCTGCCGTCACCAGTGTGTGAATGTGTGTGTGAATGTGTGGATGACTGGATGTGTAAAATGCTTTGGGGTCCTGAGGGACTAATTAAAGCGCTATACAAATACAGGCCATTTACTATTTAGTCACATTCACGCTGACTTGGAAACTGTGAGGTTGCTTTAGGATGATTTCACATGTCTTTGTATTAAGCCGGGCTCGCTGACGGGGCTCTGCCTTTTACTATAGAGGGCGCCGCAACCGTTGCTTGCCACCACTGACAAACAGCCCATCCCACTCTGAACACGTTAGTTTAACCCTAACTAACAGGATGGATTATGGAGAGATAAAAAGTCCAGTGGCTTTATTGTCATTCCAACCATGTGCACAGTGAAGTGAGACAACGTTCCTCCAAGACCATAGTGCTACAGATGACAGACAAACATGGGACCACAGAAAGTGCAAGTGTGCAAAAACTGCTAAAAACAAAACAAAAACAGTGCAACAGCAGACAGAAGTACAAAAGAAAAGTGCAACGATGACAGTGGGCTGTGCAAAAGTATCTCAGTGTGTGTGTGTGTGTTCCTGTCCAGCTATCTTTGTGAGGACCAAAAGTCCCTTGTGAGGACACACTCACCGGTCCTCACAAGTTTGAAGCCTTTTTGAGGCTCAAAATGTGGTTTTACTGTCAGGGTTACAATTAGGTTATGGTTTAGGGTTAGGCATTAATTTTTAATGGTTAGGGTAAGGGGCTAAGGAAACCATTATGTCAGTGAAGGTCCTCACTAAGATAGCTGAACAGCCTGGGGGAGGAAACTTTCTCAGTATGGCAGTGAGGGTACCTTTGCCAGAAGGAAACCGGGTGAAGTAGACAGAACAGCCTGGCTATGCTCTTCATCTCTCAGCTGGTCCTGCGTAGCTCTTCCTCATGTATCGCTGAACTTGTCCTGGTGTATCATCAAAAGCCTCTGAATCTGTCAGCCTGTCCTGACTGTGGACACCTGCCGTCCTCGGAGGAAATCAAACACGACAGTTAGCAGAATATTCACAATTTACCTTTTTCTTAGACTCGCTTTTATAATTAATAATAATATTAATATAATTAATAACTTCTGCTGAGGTTTTGTTACAGTTTGGATTTGTCTGGGCCTCACGCTTTAATTTTTGCGCCCTCTAGTGGTTAAAATACTTCACCACAGGTGTTTGTCGCCCAGGGCTGGTGTTTAATCCTGAATGATTGTATTTGTCAGACCCTGATGCAGACTTGGAGTCAACACATGTTGGTCTGGTTTGCTCATTGAATTATTCCAAGAATAAGTCTGTTACATGACTTCATCCTGAAAAGATTTTTGCGAAAAACTATTAGATCTCCTTCTGATTTCACTCTTTTGCTCACTAACATGTTTCAAAGCCTCTCCTCTGTCAGTCCGCCCCAGGGCGGCTGTGGCTACAATGTAGCTGCCATCACCAGTGTGTGAATGGGTGTGTAAAGCGCTATAGAAGTACAGGCCACTTACCATTTATATCCCCATCATGAAGTCTGTCCTTCTACAGAACCTCTGCACACTCCCCACACTTTCATTTAGTTCCATTTCTTTTCTTGGCTGTAGCTCAGGTGGTAGAGCAGGTCATCTACTGATCGGAAGGTTGGTGGTTCGATTCCTGGCTTCCCCTAGTCTGCATGCCAAATATCCTTGGGCAAGATACTAACCCGAAATTGCTCTCCGATGCATTCATCGGAGTATGAATGTGTGTGAATGTCAGTTGTGCTTGTGCGAATGGGTGTGAATGGGTGAATGCACAAGTTGTGTAAAGCGCTTTGAGTGCTCAGAAGAGTGGAAAAGCGCTATATAAGAACCAGTCCATTTACCATTTACCATATTCTGAAGTCTGCAGATTTTCTCTGATTGGTTTCATTTACAGTCACGTGAACAGGACTGAAGGAGTGGAGTAGTGGAGAGCTGCAGCACTTTCACTTTAAAGATCAGAGGCTGACATCAGAAAATGACCTTGCGATGGTCACCTGAATATATTTTGCTGAGGTCTGAACTTTGAATGAACCCCTGCAGCCGCTTCTTTCTTTTCTTTTCAGCCATTCTGTCGGACATTTACCTCTGGGCTTGGGATCATCGGTCTTATTTATATACAATATTTTAAATAAGGCCATAACAACAACAACAACAACAACAACAACAACAACAACAATAATAATAATAATAATATGTCCTATTGAATAATATTTACAGTTTTCAAAAAGCCAAAAAGTTTTCTGAATTGATTTGCCTGTAAAGAAACAAAGATACTAAATGCAGAGGTGCAGGCTTTGACTTTAAAATAAACATACTCCAGTATTCCTTATCTCTTTTTAGTTTTTAATCAATTAACTTTGTTTTTATTTACCTTTAAAAACAAGTCTTCATTTTGTTTTCTTCTGTTTTCCCCCAGGAACTGGTCTTCGGTCCTGATCCAGTCAAACTCCGGGCTTTGGTTCATTGTGTGCCCCGGATCCGGCGCTCCCGGCCGGGTTTCTCCTCGGGTAGACCGAGGCCATAACGCGGCCATTATGCCCCGCCCCTCTGTCCGACCTCCGGAAGCCGGCTTAAAGCACAACGGAAACAGAGTTTATCACCGAAAAATGGATTAAAACTGTGTCTTTGGCGGTCATTGTCGGAGTCTCCGGGCCTTTAGAGGATGTCCACCACGGCGAGGAGCGGAGACATCATCCACCTGAACGTCGGAGGGAAGAGGTGAGACCCAGGAGTGGCTGCTAACCCGGCTAGCTCCCGCGGCTAACATGGGAGGATCCATTATCGGACAGACTGCTTTCAGTATCATAGTGTAGTAATGTTCTCTAAAGTATCTCTGCGTTAAGACATTAAACACGTTTTATAACCCCTTCTATTGCACAGTATACTTTAGATGTTTTTAACCCGGTTATAAAGTCCGTGTTTCGCGCTTTGTGAGTTTTCCCAGCCCCGCACTTTGTTATTGTTAGCTAGCATAACTTTGCTCACACCAGAACCGGGCACAGAGGAGAGAAACAGGAAACGAGCCGCTGTAAGCTAGCTGTACTGCGCACATTAAACATATAAACGACGAATAAATAATAAAGTTCAGATTTACTTCAGTAAGAGTTTATATTTGGCCTGTTTAACGTAAATAAGTTAAAACTATGCTGTCCGACAATGGAACTGTTAAAGTTAGCAAAACAGGTTTGTCTTTTGTTGAAAGGCAGGTGATGTCAGGTACATGTTCACCTATTAAACATGTCAGAGTCAGGCAGAGGGACTGTTTAAGTCAGGAGTGTTTATAAAGACTGAAGCTCATCGCTCGTTTTTTATTCAGTGTTTAGTGATAAAATATTGATCTTTAACCAAGACACGGATGCAGGAAATCACGGCGTGCTGGAGCGCAGCAGGGCGACAGTTTCATGTCCGTTAGTAAAAACGGATGTAAAAGTTTCTCGGTGCTCATTAGACTTTAATGTGCACCTGTGACTCCGTGCACGAGGCGCAGGTATCACCAGGGTCAGATAAGGAGTGAAAGGTCAGTGAGGAGGAGGAGAGGGGAGCTGTTCACACTGCTGTTATTTCTGTTGTTTTATGACAACACGAGAGTCAACGAGTGTGTGTTTGCTTTCAGGTTCAGCACCTCCCGCCAGACGCTCACCTGGGTCCCTGACTCCTTTTTCTCCAGGTGGGTCAGAGAGGGAGACCCTGGCTGTCGGGGGCTTTTAGGTTACTTTCTCTGGACTACATGCACTTCACTCCCTAAAAGCTGATTTTGAGCTGGACATGCTAAAAGTCTGCTCATTTGGTCGAATGTGTGCAGAAACGTGCATGTTAATATGCGTACGTGAGCTAGTCTGTGATGTGATGAAATTGTCGTGTAAGTGAAATGAAAGGCAGATGTGACTGAACTGGTTCTTGTATTTTGGAAAGCTGAGTTTGCTGGTTTCTGACGTCTCGATGGTTTCTTTGGGGGTTTTCTCTCTTCAGCCTTTTGAGCGGCCGGATCTCGACTCTGAAGGATGAAACTGGAGCTGTAAGTAAAGCTCCTCTTCCTCATGTCCCCGCATGCTTTTCCTCCTCGCGATAACTGCGTTTGTCCCTCCTCTCTCGCTGTAGATCTTCATCGACAGGGACCCCTCCCTGTTCGCGACCATCCTCAACTTCCTGCGGACCAAAGAGCTCCACCCGCGCTCCATCAACGTGCACATGCTCATGCACGAGGCCGAGTTCTACGGCATCACACCGCTCGGTGAGGCTGGACCGCACTCTGAGCTGAGCACGTAAAGCCGCAGACGTCACTAAACGTTCTTCATCACTTTGTTTTTGGAACAGTGCGTAAGCTGCAGCTGTGTGACGAGCTGGACCGGTCGTCCTGCGGAAACGTGCTTTTCAACGGTTACCTGCCGCCTGCAGGTACACCTGTCCTCACAGCACACCTGACCCCCACCTGACAGGGCCTTCAGGAAGTTTAAATGCACAACACATAATTTATGCAGGTGTTAGGATGCTTTCTATAAAAATTTAACTAATTTAAAAAAAATTTGAAATCAAATATCTTAAAAAACTTCAAAATGCTTTATCGGGTAAAATTTTCATACAATGTGAGCATGTCTGTATTTATTATATACGAATCATTGCAAACTTAAAAAGTTGTTATGATTAAAATAACGAAATATTTTCTGTTTCAGATAAAATGTGCCGCAGGAGGCTCATCACTCGCATAAAACGATGCAAATATAATTAATGTCCTGTTTCTAACTGAAACGTGGAGGCGTGATCCTGATTCACAGCTCCTTCTGTCTGTGTCATCCCAGTGCACCCGGCGAAGCGTCGGAACCGTCACAGCGTGGCCGGGTCGCAGTTCATGGCGGGCCGCGTTGTTCCTGTAGAGCGAGCGCCGGTCCGACGCAGCAACACGATGCCTCCAAACCTCGGGAATTCTGGGATACTGGGAAGAGGCATGAACGAGGATCGGACGTCAGGAGGTCGGCACGTTAAATAATGCTGCTTTATTTTGTATTTTTTTTAAGATCGGAGGGACGTGGTGGGAGTTTCATTGTGTGTGTGTGTGTGTGCGCGCGTGTGTGTGCATGTGTGCGTTCGTGTGTGTGCATGTGTGCGTTCAGGGCACTCATCTGACCCCGGCATGGTTCGGATCATCTGCGGCCATCATAACTGGATCGCTGTGGCCTACGCGCAGTTCGTGGTCTGCTACAGGTAAACGCGTCACATGACCTCTGTTGTTTATTTGTTTTCACGTGACTGGGAGCGGCTCAGACACATCGGCACATCCTGCTGCATCCACACCTCCGTCCGAGCATCTGTAGCGGTTTCAGTAACACCGTGAGCCTCCTTAGAGAGACGCACACACACGTGCGCACAGGTCACTGCTGCGTGCTCTCACACACCTTTAACTGCAGGTCGCAGGTCATTTATCACCCGTTTAAATTTGACTGTAGTCTGAGGTTTGCGTTAATCTCAGATTAGCTAATATTTGGGCCAAGGCCCAATAATCCTTATTCCATACTGAGTCGTCCCGTCAGTTTGTAGTCTGTCAGAGAAGTGGGGGGGGAAAGCTGTTTTAGCTCCTCCCACTGTAAGCTAACTGTCTTCTGATTGGCTGTCCCTCTCCTGCCTCCTCCTTCTTCCCGCCTCCTCTCTCAGGGTGAAGGAGTCGACCGGGTGGCAGCAGGTCTTCACCTCTCCCCGCCTCGACTGGATGATCGACAGAGTCGCGCTCAACGCCAAAGTGATGGGCGGGTCGCTGGGAGACAACGACAAGATGGTGGCTGTCGCCTCGGTGACAGAGATCATCCTCTGGTCCATTTGCCCTGATGGCAACGGCAATGAAATCGGTACGAGTTTCTGCGCAGTGTTCCCGGGAATCGGGACGTAGGTTCGATGAGCTGCTCGGGAAACGTTCCCAGTAACAAAAACAAACTGGTTTCTCCCTCCCCGCAGGCGTCTTCAGTCTCAATGTCCCCGCTGAGGCTCTCTTCTTTGTTGGTAACCAGCTCATCGCCACCAGCCACACGGGGAAGGTGGGGGTGTGGAACGCAGTCACCAAACACTGGCAGGTGGGTGGAGACGCTCTCAGATGGTCGCGGTGATCGCCCACTGCTTCAGTGGAAGTGCTGAAGCCTGAACACCTGCCGAGGGAGCTGATTGGACCAAGTCTGTTTCAGGTGGTTATCGGTCTGCTTCACACATGCTCTCTGTGACCTTTGCAGAACCAGGATGTGGTTCCCATCAGCAGCTACGACACCGCCGGCTCCTTCCTTATCTTGGGCTGCAACAACGGCTCCATCTACTACATCGGTAAGAAACTGCAGATCGATGAGTCGGATCAACTGAAAACTGCTCAGTACGAGTATAAATTCATCAGATTGTTGGCTCGTGGTCATTAATTTACCAACCAGAACCTGAATCTGTTCAGTAAATGCTGCGGGCCACTCTCACCAGCTTTCATTGGGAGGCTTTGGCTTCACGACTTGACAGATGTTTAAAAAGTCCCCGCTGTTCACGATGTCCCTGTTTGCTGGTCAGATGTTCAGAAGTTTCCTCTGAGGATGAAGGATAACGACCTGCTGGTGACGGAGCTGTACAGAGACCCGACCGAAGACGCCATCACCGCTCTCAGCGTCTACCTCACACCCAAAACAAGTACGGAGACACTGACACTGCTGCTAATACAACCACTGCAGGGCGTCAGTTTTCTCCACATTCCTTCACCTCCGTCTGTTAGAGACGAGTCAGGGAAAGTCTTATTTTTCATGTTCCTGCAGCCGTCTCACACTTAGCCCTGTTTGCTCAGGTGACAGCGGGAACTGGATCGAGATTGCGTACGGGACCAGCTCGGGGACTGTTCGCGTCATCGTCCAGCATCCAGAGACCGTGGGCTCAGGGCCTCAGCTTTTTCAGACCTTCTCTGTCCACCGCAGCCCCGTCACCAAGATCATGCTGTCGGAAAAGCACCTCATCTCAGGTACGAGAATCGCCTCGTCTTGGAAACTGGCGTTCTGTGTCGAATGCAGGGCTTAAGCTGATGTCTGCATCTCGTTCATGGTGTCGTTGTTTCTGAGCTCCTCTTCGTCGTCCTTCAGTTTGTGCAGATAACAACCACGTGCGGACGTGGACGGTGACTCGCTTCAGAGGAATGATCTCCACCCAGCCGGGGTCCACGCCGCTCACCTCCTTCAAAATCCTCAGCCTGGACGACGTGGACGGGCACGGAGGCTGCAGCGCCGGGACCGAGATCGGTAACTGTCACCCCGATCGCAGTCCGAGCTGTGTTTGAGGACTGTAGCTCTGCTTCTGTAATGAAGCGATGGAATTCATCAAAGACAATCAAACTTTGACTTTGTCATATTTCTTCAGATCTCCTTTCGTTTCACTGTCTCGTTGGTTTCAGGGCCGTATGGAGAGAGAGACGATCAGCAGGTGTTTATCCAGAGAGTCGTTCCCGACACGGATAAACTCTACGTCCGGTTGTCGTCCAACGGGAAGAGGTGGGACAGCCGTAGACACTTGTAACCCACCTGGTTATAACTGTGTGTGGTCAGTTTAGTTTTAGGATCCCCGTTCGCTCCTGCAGTAACAGTAGCTGCTGTTCCTGTTCTGTACATGCATGAAAGACAAACAACACAATTAAAAACAACAACACTGTCCTCGGCGTCACATTGGTTCAACAAGGAGGTAACGAAACACGCCGCCTGTCTGTCGACTGGCGTGTAGAGTATTGACGTCCATGTTGGAAAGTAAACGTAATAACAGAACAACCTGCGAGCACACGATGTGTGATCATGTGACACTGAAGGTTAAAGAACGTTTAGAACCAAACGTCTGTTAAGACCAAAATATCGTGTGTGTGTGTGTGTGTGTGTGTGTGTGTGTGTGTGTGTGTCAGGGTATGTGAGGTGCGTTCGGTGGATGGGACCTCCATCACGGCCTTCATGGTCCACGAGTGCGAGGGCTCGAGCCGCATTGGCTCTCGGCCGCGTCGCTACCTGTTCAGCGGCCACAGCAACGGCAGCATCCAGATGTGGGACTTGACCACCGCCATGGAGATCGCCGGCAAGGTCGACATCAGAGGTAAAACTCCAGACTCGTGATGTAGAAGAACAACTTCTTGTGCTCTGCGATTAGTTAGCAGCTGATCAACATGGGTTCTCATTGGCTGTTTGGCAGCACTGGGCGGACCCACAGAGGAGGAGCTGCTGGAGCTGCTGGACCAGTGCGACCTGGCTCTGACCAGAACACCTGACAGCACACCCCGAGCTTCCACCTGCAGGTAGAGTTCCCTCCCACTGAGCCTCATTCACACAGGGTGATGCGGTGCAGTCCACGTTCTTCTTTGGTGTTTCTATTTTGACAGATGACTTCTAATCTCGCGTCTTTGATGGATGCCATTGGTCGTTTACAGTCGTAAACATCATGCTCTTACTGTGGTTGCTGACTTGTGTCACTTCCTGTTCCTGCAGCCTTCACTCTCAGCTCAGCGATGCCTTCAGGACAGAGCACCTTCGCTCTATGGGAGGAGGACGAGGTGCAGCCGGAGGTTCGGGTTCGTCTGCGTCGCTGTACGGCAGCCTCCCCCGCCAGGCTCCGCCCCCCGTTCCCTTCGCTAAACCTGCCCGAGAAGCTGGCCTTTCACCTGGACTGCAACAAGGCCCCTCCTACCCCACCTGCAGCCAGACCAGCAGCCCCCGTCCCCTCAGGCATCTGGACCGGGACAAAGAATGTGGGTCTGTGCGCAGGGGGAGCTTTGTTGAGCGCTGCCAGGAGCTCGCCAAAGGTTCAGAGGCGGCTGTGAGCGTAGGGTTCCCGCCGGGGTCAGAGGGCATCAGGCGGAGCCTGGCGGTGTGCAGTGAGTTGGAGGCCAAATTCGGCCTTAGGACCCCTCCCACCTTCACTGTACCCCCTGCTGCTCGACATTCACCTGGACCGCCATCATCGCTGTCCTCGTCACCGCTCTCGTCGTCATTACACCGCAGGACCTCACCCGCTTCCCCGCCAAGCCCTGCCTCCGCAGCGGTGAGTCCGACCCGTTCTCAGGCATCGGTCTCCCCTCGCCACAACACTGCGGCGTCACCCGTTGATTCCTCGGGTACCCCCGAGAGTCCCCCAGGTCCCGACAGCCCCACCCCTTCTGGCCCGCCCACCAGCCCCAAACCACATATGAATGAGACCAGCTTCTGATTGGCTGATCTGCCTGAGAGCTTCGGGTTCAGGTGGACACACGATGGCTGAAAAAACTGAAAACATGACTAAAAGCTGTTGTCAGGTGAGACGTGAAGAAGAAAATGATACGATCAGCTCCTCCGGTGGTTTTTGATAACGGCTGCAGATCCACCTTCAGTCTTTATTTCAGGTAAAACAAGAAAAGGCCCCAAGGCGAGGAGAAGTAACCTCTTTGGCACAAAAGCGTCTTTTAATTAGAATTGGATGGTTGTGACAGGATGAAGACCAGGTCAGAGCTGCTGCCGGAAGCCTGGGTTTGTTTGCACCACGTCAGCATGCTGATGCGTCGCTGTTATCAGAGTAACCTGTCGCACTGTAACGTCACAGTTCAGCTTCTGGCAGCTGAAGAGACGGACGCTTCCTTGGGGAGGCGGTGGAGACCAAAAACTGAGCTAAAAGAGTAAAATCCCAAACGGAGACTCCTCAGGTGATCGAGCACAAAGCTGTTTGTAGCTTTTCTAACCAGCACTCTTTCTAACTTTTCTAACAGACTTCACAGTTTTGTCTTTTTATTTCATTTGTATGTTTGCTGACTTACCGACCCTGAACGTCTCACAGCTGCTTTGAGGAAACCTGATAATTCCCCAGAATCTCCAGGAACTTCCCTGGAACAAAAACTAATTTGCAGATGAAATAAAATAATTAAAGGGTCAAAAACTGAAGCGATTTGAAGGGAACTGAATCTGTGTGCATCAGGACTCATTTCCCTGTTTGGGTCTTCAGGTCTCTGAAACCGCCTTTGAAGGTTTTATGAACTCTACATGTTTACTCTGGACGTTTTCAAACTCATCATGTCACCAAAATATCAAAAATCCAATTTAAATTTAAATTCTGAGCTCCTTTGAAGCTCATTCCCTGGGAGTGCAGAGGGTGTAACTGTTTAGGTTTTCTGTAGTACACTTTATGGCCAGCAGGGGGAGACTCCAGTACGGGAATGTTAGGGGTGCAGCTCACCTGTTACCCAATTTCTTCATGGTGCGTTCAGGGCTGTCAGGCGATTATTTTTCACGACTTTCTACTGTTTCTCAGATTTTGTAAGTTACCTATGAATCCTGATGATGCATTAATAATCCTAATCGATAATAAACAATAATATATCACTCAAAGCACGGAGTCCTTTTTCTGCTGCATTGGTGCTTTTAAGGGGAAAATGTATTTCCAGGAAGCCTCAGAGTAAACCGGTGATTACAGGAAAACTGCGTCTTCCTCCTTTACTGTGATGAAGCAGAGCCGCCTGCTGCCCACAGTCTTCCTCGGGTAAGCTGACCTCAGACACGGGTTAGTTTCTGATGTTCGCTCAGCTTTGAACACACTTTTAGCTTCAGCCTGTCGCTCTGTTTGCTTTGAGCTGCTTCGTGGTTCAGGCTACATACACTGCATTTTTTATGAGTACTTGACGTTTGTGGTATTTACGCTGCTATGACTGCATTTCCCTGTGGGAATAATAAAGTCTCTGAGTTACAAGATGAAGATTTTACAGTGACAAATTGACAAACTCCACGAGGTCTTCGCTCATGTTTTTCTTTTCTTTTTTTAAATATGTTTAACTTAACTGTTATTTTATTATGTCTATATTTTATTATTTATTAATAATATATCATTATATTATGTATATTGTTTGAAATGGTGAAAAACTAGAGAGAGACTTCCACAGAGGATGACAAATTTCTAGTTTCCTACGACCTGTGAATGCAGCATCTTCAGCCATTAGGAATCTGTATTAATGTTTTTAATGGTTTCCAACTCTGTGCTTACAGCTCAGCTCGTGTTGTAAAGACTCAAGTCTTAGAGACATGACGAGATATTTTAGAAGATAAAAGATGAGCACCTGATTTTATTCCAAAAGCTTTAATTCATTATTATAACAAACAGCTCTGACACAGTAAACATCCACAGCCACGACGACTCAGCATCGCAGTTTGATCGCATCATCGTGGAAAATGGATATCCCACAAAAATATTTTAGTTTATAAAAATAAATTTAAATCTGACTCTAGATATGCCCACCTTTTCCTACAGGAGGCGGAGCTTGAAGTGTTTGCTGATTGGTTAAAGTGGCTCTGTTCTGCTTTCCTGTTCATAATAAACATGAGCCAAGTTTCTAATAACGACTTCAGTGAGACGAACACTCTGTTTCAAACTTTTTTTTTTTTCTGATGTTGGTCTGTGATGTCACAGAGGATATCCCTACTGTAGTCATCTCAGACATAAAGGCCCCGCCCACTCGCCGTTCAAACATTTAAGTAGGACGGTAGCCCTTAAACAGGGAGTAGCGTGTTTGAGACAGAGGCCCAGTATCAGACAAAGAAGGGTTATTCTGAACTGTGACTCATGCAAAGCTGCCCTAGCAGAACCCACGCTGCAAATGAGTAGAACGGTTCCACTTTAATGTTTTCTGATGAAAAGCTGTAACGCTGGATCTTTGAGCAGAAATGAGCTTTACTGAGCAGGAACGGTCCCATAAACAAAAAATACGGAAGCTCATTTCTGCCAAAAAACAAACATCATGATACAAAAATATAACTTCTCTGAAAGCTACAAGTCAAGTGCATTGGGTCATTTTACAGTTTCCCCGATAAATGGCCGACAGGACGCGGTCAGGCCTTGGCGTCGAGCATCTCCAGCAGCAGTTTGTGGATGGGGACGTGGCGGTGGCGGTGCAGCCGCAGGAAAGCCTGCACGGCTCGGTCGGCGGTCTGTCGTAGCAGGGGGAGGGTCATGAGCAGCCGTCCTGCTCGGTGCTGCTCCCGGCGGGACGACTCGTAGTCCTGCAGCGCCTCGTGGAGCCCGTCCTGAAACCTCTGCACAGAGTCCGGGCAGTCCACCGGGTCGGCGTCTGACAGACGGACAGACGCAGGTTAGAATGCTTCCTCGCTCATTACACCCACATGCTCAGCTGTATCAGGACAAACGACCAAAACACTCTGCTACAAACACAAAGTGCAGTTCCTCTCATGGCCACTTGAGGCTCTGGTCTAAATATGGTCACTACTGGCTCCAAAAGTCTCTCACCTACATCATGTGAGGTCATGTGGTTTTGTGTTAGCAGGAAAACTGAACTGGTTATGGATGAGTTTGCATGAAACTGGACATCCGATGGTGGAGGACGTGTGCAGTGTCAGACTGCTTTAGTTTTTAAAGACTGGGTCCTGTTCACGTCTGTAAATCACAGACTGGAACGTTTGGGTGCTGCTTGTTAATCAGCTCAATATGTTTCCCCTGATCGACTGATCAGAAGCTGTGAGTGTGTCTGCACGTCTGAGCCTGAGCATCTGCAGGTTTAGGACGGCTGTGCAGCCACAGGCCTGCCTGCCAGTCTGTTTATTGATCTGAGGCTGAGACAGTGAGAGTCTGAGCAGACTTCAGTGTTATTGATCGGCTGCTCCTCGCCTGCAGCCTCCAGCGCCGCCACTAAACGCTCTGCTGACCACTGAACTGCGACAGAGTGAGAGCCACAAAACTAATTCAAGTCTGGGATCAATCAATACTGCTGTTTCAGCTCCCAGAGTCTGATCAATATCAATAACTACTCCTCTAAGATCAATGAGTGGAGTGGTTATTGTGGTAAAATCAATATCTGAGTTCATGCTGGAGCTCCTCAGCTGTCCCGCTCACAGATACACAGCAGCCATATTGATCAGGTGTGTGTGTGTGTGTGTGTGTGTGTGTGTGTGTGTGTGTGTGTGTGTGTGTGTGTGTGTGTGTGTGTGTGTAAAACTATGAGTGCTGGAATTCCTGCATCATTTATACCACAGTACTGTCCTGTGAGATGCAGACGAGTTGTTTAACTTAATCATCATTCATCTCGGGCTCTTATTTTGAAACTCAGACAGCCAGGAAGTGTTAATATCTGAGTTTATGTGCAGCCATAACACTTTGAGTCAAACAGAAACCATGAAGAATGCGTCTCCTAAACACTGAGCATAAGCAGGTTACTCCATCAGGACGAGATTAAAACGAGATTATTTGTTTCTCCTATAAAACTGCAGAGAAACATCGCCCCCTACAGGCCTGTTCTGCCCTGACACACAGTACTGTCCTACTGTGGTTACAGGCAGTGGTGCTAATGGCTTGTTCTTACCAGAGTTGGCAAGCGCCATGGCCTTCAGGGTCACCACCTCCTCAGGGCTCAGCTTCATCGCTCTGTATTTCGCTATCAGGTGACGCAGCGCCTCGTACAGGTCAGCCAATCCCGTGGCTCGACACTGAGCTTCATCCAGACACAGATTCCCGGCAAACACGAGCTCGTCCCCCCCTGCGCCCTGGGAGCGCCAGGCCACACCCACCAGCAGCGCCTCCATCCAGCCACTCTGCAGAAGCGACATCTGATCAACCAATGAGAGTCCGGAGAAGCCTGGGAGTGGGCGGGGCAGAGTAATAAATGACAAATAATAATAATTATTATTATTATTATATTACCTGTGTTTATACATAATGCTCCAGTGCTCTGGATAACCAAGTAAAGGTTAAGGGTGGGCGTGGTCTGGATTGGGGACCAGGTGGAGGTTGAGGGTGGGCGTGGTCTTGATTGGGGACCTGTTTGGTGGTCTCGAGCGTGTACCTGGAATCTGTTTTGCCCAGCCAATCAGAAGCAGCAGCTCCCGGTTCAGGAGGTCACACAGGATCAGCAGGATCCGCAAGCTGCTGTCATTGGTCGAATCGTCCTGATTGGCAGCTAAAGGGGCGGGCTCTGTGAGCAGCAGGTGGGAAATGACCTTGTTCCCTAAAAGAGAGGAAGTGGATGATCAACGGCGTGGGCGAGTAGTTTGACCTGAAAGCCTTCAGAGGGAGCGAAGGTGAACTCACTGCTGCTGCTCGGGTGGCTGTACAGGGCTTTGCTGCATAAACTCAGTCCTGTCTCCACCCGCCTCTTGTACTTCTGGCGCCCCCCTCTGACGCGGTCCAGACGGACACCTGCAACACGCAGAGGCGTTTCACACACACGTAGTTCTACTTCCTGCCAGCTCGTAACGGTCGTTTGGTGTAACGTACCCTCCCTCATCATCCCGGCCTGCAGACATTTCTGGAAGCGGCAGGCCTGACAGGCTTTCCTCCTCCGCTTCGTGATCTCACACTCGTTCATCACCGGGCAGCTGTACTCGATGTTACCTAGGTAACCACAACAGGAAGTAAAAGCAGGAGTGTCAGTAGCTGTGTCCCAAAACGTAGGCTGCATACTTCGGAGGCCGCATTTGAAGGCCGATTACGTCACAGCCAGGCGACGAAGGCTATCCCAATTCATCGACTCCTTCAAATGCAGCCGACAAATGCGTCCTTCATTTCCCCAAATTTGAAGGATGGGTCGGGTGTGTCCTTCGTGGCCCACCATATCCCAGAATTCATAGCGCGGCCCAGCCAATTCCAGTTTCCAACAATGGCGGCTGCTACTAAGTTTTAATATTACTCTTATTAATCTTTCTGTGTCTCAAAATAAACGTTTAACATATTTCAGTAGCTGTGTAAACTTCAAATATCTGCTCGGTTTATCGAGACATCACATATTTGCAAATGCAGTGGTCAGTTTGTAGGGCGCTTTATATTCTGTGGTCACAGCTCTGCAGTAATGCAGGATCTTTGTGAGAGTCTCTCAGACTGTGATCAGAAATGACCCCAAACTCTCATCATGGATCAATAACGTGGATCATCCTGCCCTGTAATATTAAAACCCTCTGCTGTGAGTTTCTTCGTGGCCTCCCTTTGACCTCTCTGCACAGATCAATAAGTGAAGTGATCGGGCGTGACCAATCAATCGCCCGGAATGAGAAACAAGCAGCTGATGTGAGAGACGACGGCTTCTCACACTACTCGATACAGCGAGCGCTGCTGTGTTGATCGGCTAATGAATCACACAGACTGTAAGACCTTTGATATTTAATAGAAACCAGCTGAGCGTCTATTTATTTATGACTCTACTGATGACTTGGATTCCCTGTTTGTCCTTTTTAGTGTTTTTTCTAAGGCAGTTTCACATCGCGGGTCGATCTTTGTAACAACGTTATTCTAAAGGGTGCCGATAAAAACCTATTTGGAGGTTTCACACAGGAGACGTGCAAAAAGCGTAATTTGGCTGCTGTTTGGACACATTTACACTCAACAGCCTGATGTCATAAACGACCAGCATCGTTTACACTAGTAACAGTAAGAATTATATTTTATAAATATATCATCAGCCGTCCTCATCCTCATGTTTTTATTTCTTTATACAGGAGATGATGAACGTGCTCCTCCCACCTTGGATGGTCCTCTTGAAGAAAGCCTTGCAGGCCTCGCAGGACGCCACGCCGTAGTGATACCCGGAGGCGAAGTCTCCGCACACCAGACACAGCCTTTTGGGCCCCACGGCCCCCATCGAGGTCATGTAGTCGCCCCTCAGGATCGAGTTGACCTGCAGATATACGACGTCATCATCAGTGGCGAGCAGTATGACGGTCCCCACAGACCTCAGCTAACTGTTCCTGGACTGGACCTCGGGGCTGCGTTTGAGTGGTGTTGGGGCCTTTTTAATGGCCAATCACATGACTGCTGTGAGGTTTCTGTACTAACACACCTCCATGAAGGCGGAGCTCCAGTTTTAGTGACGTTCCAGGATTTTATTTGGATGTCAGTGAGCTCAGCAGGTACCTCAGTCAACCTTCAGCTCTGACTCTAGTCTGGATTAACCTTTGCAGATTAAAGACTTTTGGGGCACCAGAGAAAACTTCCAGGAACAGTCGGATACGGACGTGAATTTGAAGTTTGGCAGTTCGACCCCGGGGACGTTCAGACTTTAAGTGTTTGTGTTTTTAAATGTGATTAAACAGAAACTTCACCTGCGCTGAAAACGAGTCCGATACAGAAAAACACAGCGACGCTTCCGACACCAAGACGCTACTTCCACCGCTGGAACTACATCCTGTCGGGGAGTCGGGCTCCGCTGCTCGGCACAGGAGACTGTACGGTGAGGAGGAGGAGGAGGAGGAGGAGGAAGAAGCCGGGCTGTGGAGGAAGAATTCTGCATGTGAAGGGCTGAGAGTGGGAGTGGCTTCCAGGGGAAAGGCGGGACCTATGGGGGAGGAGTGGAGGAAGGAGGGTGGAGATTGAGGTTCATCTCTGGGGGAGGAGGAGGGAGAAGAGGAGTCCAGGATGCTAAGGAGGAAGAAGAAAGAGGAGCGTGAAATACAAACCAGGACAAAATGTGCAGAACACAAAATAAAATCTCGAGCCGACTGCTGACATTAGTGAGGCCGTTAATGACCTGCAGGGTTAAAAACACAAGATTTGGATTTCCCATGAACGCATTCCAAGTTTCACAAGTTTGGTGCGAAGAGTTTAAACGTGCATTCTGTGTAATGACCAGCAGGGGGCGCTTTACAAGAAAATGAGCCTTTAAATCTGAGCTCGTAGTGGTGCAAAGGTGACGTTTGTTCGCGTTCATCGGTACAAAGTGTCGCGTTGTTAATGCCAGATCGTGTTTTACGATAATGAAAACAAGTCTTTTCAGATAAGGTTTGGTCTGTGTGCTTCTCTGATCAGAGAAAGCTCCACCAGTAAAAGTGGAAATCATCATTAATGTTGTGCACATGGACATGAGTCTGTGTGGGAGTGGAGCGCTGCAACGTCGCGTTCAAGGACAGGAAAACTTATAATTCATCTTCACATCAACACAGAGGTTGTATTTCACAAACCGTGTGGGTCTGCACAGCGTGTTCATCATACATAATATACAAACGTCATACACATTTGCACAGAATTGGAGTTATTTTAAAAACAGAGCAGCATCGTTTGTTTTGGTTTTTTCAGACGCACAAAGAACAGTTAAACTTGGGGAACGCTGCCACACAGTGTTCGCATCAGATTTTAAAGAGTTTCCAAAAGTACCTTCAAACGTTTTAGATTTATTTGTCTGTGCTACTCAAAACGTGCTGCAAAGAAAACTGTCACACATCCAGAAAAAGCGCGTTAACTTCACTAAAACGTTTGAATCTGGACCTGAGGTTTCAGGCCGAGGCTCCGTGAACTCACCGCTGCGGGCTGAGCAGGTCGCCCGTCACGCAGAAGTCCTTCAGCTCCATCGTGAAGCTGCTGTGGAGCGTCCAACACCCGAGTAATAAAAGTCTCTGATGATACTTCAAGGTCCAACGAAAAAGTGGGACAAACGTGCTGAGACTGTCTCAGAGGGACATCTGAGGCTTTCAGGAGTCTGCACTGTTATTTATCTGTTTGTTGTGTCATCGCAAGGGATGGGAGTGAGGGGGCGGGGGCCTGTAGGATCAGCCAATCAGCATATTGCTTCTCTGAGAGGGCGTGGTGGGAGTTAGCTTCTCCTCCTCTTCCACCAATCATTTCTATTGATTTGGACAGTGACAGATGTAGGCCACGGGAGGCCGAAGCTCCGGTCTACATCTGTAAACATGCAACACACAAATACAAGCATACTGTAATTCGTGAAACTGGATGACGGTAAAAATAAATAAAAAGAGACGCTGAGAGCACGTGAAGCCTGAAGGTCCGTGAGGCGTTCAGGAGCCTTGAAAATGTTCCTACTTTTCCTACTTTCACGCCATCACAAAACACAATCAGTACAGCTATGACCCTGGTTTTTGCCCCACTGCGGGCTTCCGGAAGCTGGCCAGTCAGAAGGAAGAGGCCGTTTTAGGGACTTTAAAGAGACGCATGTTTCAGACAGAGGATGAAGTGAGGCGCTGCACTGAGGCAGACAGAAGGAAGGGTGGAGCTGAGAACGAGCAGCGGTCCTGCTTTAGCAACTTAAAGCCTTTTCATGTATTTCATTTCCAGATTAGAACTTTTTTTGTCGTGTTGTTTCGAGCTGCCTGAACATCTGGCCAGACGCCGATGTCACAGATTCTTAAGTTTGAGCAAAACTTTTATAAAAAAAAATAGTGTTTTATCCACCGTAGAAGTTCTCCTGTGGTGAATCATGTTTTTTGTTTACATCAATAACTGATGACATGAAGGACGAGAAACACTTGAAAACCACTTTGTGTTCAGGGCGCTGACCCGAGCGGCGAGGATTGAGGCTGCTGAAGCAGCAACTTTCTGACAGCGAGGTGTGTGATGTAAACACACACACACACAGTGTCCTAATCTTACACTCAGACGTTCAGGCAGCTCAGATCAGTCTCACCTACATCTGCTGTTTCATAAGAGCTGCATAACCAGACCCGTCTGTCGGAGGATGTGGTTCAGCTGACGATTCACACACAGCTGAAAGTTAAAGGATGAGTCCTGTTTGCTTCAGCCTTCGTGTCCACTCAGTCTGTGCCTCTCTACCTCCGTCTTCTCCCGGGTCTTACTGAGGTGGGAGGCTGACGGGTGATGATGCTCTGGTAGGTCTAACCAGGTCGGGCAGCCCGTGGAGGTAAAGGCCAGACAAAAATCAGCACCTGGTCCTCCAGGGTGGAGGTTGGACACGGAGCCGATGACACCACGAAGAAGTGGTTGGCTCCATGTCATAGATGTCACCAGCTATGAATTATGGGAAAACTCTGACATGCAGATATGAATCTTCCCACAGAGGATCATTTATGTTAAACCGAGGACATACTGTCCACTTCACTGTCTTTAGCAGGAAGTGATTGTTTGCTGCACTCCAACAGGAAAATCACGCTGTTAGTTGAGACGTTGGTGTTTGTACAGCACTTTATAAATCAGGACTGTGTCTTCCTTCTCTCACCCCAACCAATCACAGCAGATGGCCCCGCCCCTCCCTGAGCCTGGTTCTGCTGGAGGTTTCTTCCTGTTAAAAGGGAGTTTTTCCTTCCCACTGTCGCCAAAGTGCTGCTCATAGGGGGTCATATGATTGTTGGGTTTTTCTCTGTATGTATTATTGTAGGGTCGACCTTACAATATAAAGCACCTTGAGGCGACTGTATCACTTACACCGGGGCTTCACTTTTACTCAGTAATCAGTCAGTGAGATGATGTGAGGAAAAAACAAAGGTCTCCAAACGTTCTCCTCCCTGCAGAGGTGCTGATGGGATTCCTGATCATGCTAGGGTCTCTGAGCATGTGGTGGCTGTAACCGTGTAAACTGTCTGCTTAGAGATTATTTTACTAGATAAAATAGTGCAGAGGGGGAAAAAATCAGGCTCCTGGCTCACACAGGCTCTCCTCCAAAGTCCTCATTTACAAACGCGAACATTACAGTGTTCTGACAAACCATCCTACTTTGGCAAAACGTCCTACCGTAAGTAGTTTATGCACATTTGTGCTGTCACAGAGTAATTGCAGCACAAATTTCAGTAGGTATGACGGTTTGCCACTTAACGTTGCCCATCAGAGTATGCTTGTAGCTCATATTCTTAAAGCCAGGACGGTTAACCACTTCATTTTACCCGTTAAAGTATGCTTGTAGGTAACATTCACAAAGGTAGCATGGTTCGCCGCTGAATTTTAGTTGTTAAAGTATGCTTGTAAGCAGTGTTGGTCAAGTTACTTGAAAAAAGTAATCAGTAACTAATTACTGATTACTTCCCCAAAAAAGTAATCCCGTTACTTTACTGATTACTTATTTTCAAAAGTAATTAGTTCTTAGTTACTTTTTTAAAAACACGATTTACAACCTGAAGAGGTGATATAGTGATAGATCTTTCAGCCCACTTCTACTTTTTCTGCATAATCATCATACAAAATGTAATCAGATGGAAAAGTCTCTTTTTAAAACTTGTTTTATTAGTTTTAATCTTTTAACTTTATGCATCAAGCAAACAGCGTACTGTCATGCTTGCTCTGAAGTTTAGGGGTTTTTCGCTGTAAAAAGAAGTTTTCTTCCCACGCACAGCGGACACTCATGTTTTTGTCACTTTTTATGGAATCAAACTCAAAGTAAGGTCAGTACTTCCACGCTTTAAACGCTGCACGCTCATACTCTCTCTGCACTCGATATGTGATCCATTGTTGATCTGCACACAGCTGTCGCTTACGTCACTGTCATGAGACACTTGCAAAAAAATAACAGTTTTAGTAACGCAGCGTGCTTACAGGAAAGTAACAGTAATCTAATTACCTTTTTTTGCAATAGTAATTCCTTACTTTACTCGTTACTTTAAAAAA